AACATTCTCTGGATAGTTTGCATGAATACTGTAGTGACTGGGGCCTACAAGTTAACATTATGAAGACAAAAGTGATGGTTTTCCGCAAAAGACGAAAATTAAACCAGGATGAGCATTGGTATTTAAATACTATGCCGCTTGAGATTGTAGATGAATTTAACTACTTAGGTAATATGATTACATACACAGGTAATTTCAGATTTACTCAAAAATTGTTAGCTGGTAAAGGTTCAAAAGCTATGAATAATCTGCTCCATAACATTAGAAATGGTCACCTTTCTGCTAAAACATGTTGTGGTCTGTCTGATTCTTTTGTTACATCTACTATGCACTATGGTTGTGAAGTTTGGGGTTTGCAAAACGCAATTGAAATTGAACGTGTACATTTAAAATTTTGTAAAAATATACTTAAAGTTCATCACAATGTTACTAATATGGCTGTATATGGTTAACTAGGTCGTTTTCCTTTGGATATTAATAGATATTTAAGGGTTGTAAACTACTGGTTCCAACTGCAATGTGCATCAAATTGTCTCCTTAAAGTAATCTATGAATTGCTGTTGTCACAGTGTAATAATGACGTCAAAAACTGGGTGTTCCATGTTAAAAATGTTTTATTTATGTATGGTTTTGGATGTGTTTGGTGTGACTGTTACGACGTAAATTGTAATAATTCACCGCGGTAAATTGTAATACCACGGTAAATTGTAAGTAACAGTGACCCAGGATGTGTTGACGCTAGTGCGTTTTGTTGTCATTTTAAGCAACGCTTAATTGATTATTATATTCAAAAATGGCATCATGACATTACTTCAAGTAGTAAATTATGGCTATACAGTAATATCATATGTGAATTTGGATATGAATTATACTTAGATGCTTTACATCCAAACACTGTTAGGTATTTAACTATGTCACGAATTTCGTGTCATAAATTAAAAATTGAAACTGGGCGTTATGAAAATATTGATCGGGAGAAAAGATATTTTATCTACTGTAAAGAAAATAATGTAAATGTACTTGAAGATGAATACCATTTCGTTTTAATTTGCCCAAAACATACAGTACACCAAAACAGCTGATTAAACCTTATTTTTGGAAGAAACCAAGTATGTTGAATTTTTTGGAATTATTAAGAGGTGAGGTGAAATTGGGTTTAACATTCGTGCTTGAGAATATTTCGCTCATATGACGACGTGCATGCGTGTGTAAGTGTATGTGAGGTTGCTTGTACTAGCCCAGGCTTAAGCTGGTTTTATAGTGGTAGCCCACTGAGATACCATGCCGCAGTGAAGCATAAATACCCCACTCAGACACATTATACTGACTCCGAACCGACCAGTCCTTGTTGTACCCATTAATGCCGATCGCCAGGCAGGGACCAACAAGTACCATATTTTAACGTCTTTTGGTATGACGCGGCCGGGGATCGAACCCGCGACCTTCCGCTCTCCAGGCGGACGCTCTAACCACTCAACACGGAGGCGGATGGAATTATTAAGAAACCCATCTAAAGATAGTATTGCTAAATTATGTAAATACATAAAGTTATGCATGTAAGTACCGAAATGTTTTGTCCAGCCATCCTTTTGTAAATGTAAAAAATGTGTATATTTCAATGGATAACCATATTCTATCATGTATACAGCGTATAATGATGGCGAGGGGCATATAGTCCAAGTCTTTACTGAATAAACAATTGAACAATCGAACAATTTAAAACCTTCCACCTATGTAGTTTGGAATTAATCGAGTCTGGACCAGATAATCTTGAGCATCAGTCTATGCTGACATGCTTGAACCAAGTCACTGGACCTGACCATCCGAACCCGTTATTTACGATAATTAAACCATAATCAGTAGTACAATGTGAAAAGTATGTAATGAACAGAAGATGGAATTTCATTGTAAGTTTGTCATAGCTATACCGGTTTAAATAACAGTCCAGCAACTGTTAAGTGAGTGAGTGAGTTTAGTTTTACGCCGCTTTCAGCAATATTCTTGCAAAATCACGAATGAGGACACTAAAAAGGGATGTCACACATTGTATCCATGTGGGAATAGAACCCGGGTCTTGGGTGTGATCAGTTTTAGCAATACTCTAGTAAAATCACGGCATTAGTGCACACTAACTGAAACAGTCCACTTGTGTGTCACAACAACAACTTTTGTAGCTATTATACCCTGCAGCTATATTTCCGTGTGGGCATTAGTAGACCTAACCTCTGAATAAGAATCTAAATCGAGTCTGAGTCTGAGTTTTCGTTTTACGCCGCTTTTAGCAATATTCCAGCAACATCACAGCGGGGGAAACCAGAAATTGGCTTCACACATTGTACCCATGTAGGGATTCGAACCCGGATCTTTGGCGTGACGAGCCAACGCTTTAACCACTAGGCTACCCCACCGCCCCTATCTAAATCGAAAAGGCTTTACGATTGTGTAAGGTAAGTTCCATATGGCCCTTAATTGCTTAGTCTGTGTTCAAGACCCGAGAGAATATTTTAATTAGCCCCACTCAATAATAGCATGATTCGTCAAGTTTAGATTGTCTCCGTTCTCGAATGTAAGCATTGTAAAATTGAAAGTAAGATTAAAATGATTTTATAAACATCTTTATGCAAACTTTCTTTTTAGGACTGATCAATTAATTACTTTATAATGTGGTCAACACCCACTAACCGTATAATAACTTTGTTGGTGTTCCACACAGATCTTGCACCTTGGTCATCTAGTGTCCAAGTGACATTGTGGGCTGCAAGTTTCCCAACAGTAAAATGTTAGGCAGTAGGGGCGCTTGACCGACCCACATGAGGCGATGACAGCATGGAGATAGGACAGGGCTTAACAGGAGGGCCAATAATTATGCCTTCCACTTATAGCGTTATCTGATGGTTGTATGATGTGACTTCTAATTGGTAATGACCCAAGCACGTGTAGCCCCAATGCAGATGTTCTTAGTCTCTGAATCTCTGGTCTCCCTAGGGCTCCTTTTCAATATAAATGGGCTTGTTTGTTACTATCAAAATTATATATATTCAGAGACTAAGCCTTAGTCTAGTGCCAGACGAAGCCTTAGTTTTACAACATCAGACAAGTTGAACATTCGTCATCTGAGTGAGGTTGCATACGATCTGTATGTTCGATGACCAACTTCATGTTAATTGGTATGTGGTCAACTGGACAGGACGTTGATCTTTTTCTTAACTGAACCGTGACATTTGACACAAGGGTCGACGTCCTGTGCAGACGCCAGAAAAAGTGAACTGTAAGCAAATCGATGACAGTGCGAAATCCCCAGGATTGACAGGTTGAGTGCAAAATATACACTGGCGTGCTTTTAGCACCTTCAGAACCGCTGTGGAGGTGTGGTACAGATTCTTGTAACACAACAGCATCTGTTCCTACAGGTATCATGTGGGGTTTTTAGATACATATTCATTTTGCGATATTATGCGATATACTTATCAACATATGATGTATATTTAATTTAATATTTTTTTCTCTCGTCACGCTGAATCCCGGGTTCGATTCCCCACATGGGTATAATGTGTGAAGCTCATTTCTGGTGTCCCCCGACATGATATTGCTGGGATATTGCTAAAAGCGGCGTAAAACTAAACTCACTCACTCTCTATTCTAGCATCTCCGGCATTTGTTGTCGACGTTACGGAACTTTGGGCATGTTCGATTTTACCTCTTTCTGTGACGATTTTAAAGACCATCATACGAGTTTGGCTCACGGTCACAGCAACGAGAGTCTCCAGCTTTCAAAAGGTGACACATTTCATTGACACTTTAGCTCAGTACTCTTGCCCATTTGATGGTTTTGAAAAGTGTTGAGATTTTATTCACAGTTCTTAATAGTTGCTGGACGGTGGGGTAGATTAATGGTTAACTGATCACACCCAAGACCCGGGTTCTATTCCCCACATGGGTACAATGTGTGAAGCCCATTTTTAGTGTCCCCATTCTTGATTTTGCAAGAATATTGCTAAAAGCGGCATACAACTTAACTCACTCACTCACTTGACAGTTGCTGGACCCTTATTTAAACCGGTCGAGCTAAGACAAACTTAACATGAAATTCCATCTTCTGTCCATTATACACTTTTCGCATTAGTTTCACATTTACTACTGATTATGGTTTAATTATCGTAAATAACGGGTTCGGGTGGTCAGGTCCCCTGACTTGGTTCAAGCATGGCAGTGTAGACCGATGCTCAAGATGTCAATCACTGGATTATCTTGTCCAGACTCGATTATTTCCAACTACATGGCTGGACGTTTTTGAGTACGGCGTTAAAAGAAAGAAACAAAACAAAATCAGGCAACATAGTATTTGCTAACTGAGGCAAAAATGTTTTCGGGATTGTATTACCTGACATTTCAGTTCGAAATTGTGCATTTTCAGTATTGTAGATCAACATCCTGTTCAATAGTTATGATGTGTCATGAAACAGCAAGACATTGTAGCATATTAATTGGCAGATGTTATCGCTGTGATCAGGGTGTTCCAGAGCAATTATCTTGATCAGTAATGTCACAAGTTGCCGTCTATATAAGAATGGCACATTGTGAACAGTGAGAACATCATCATCTGTTATCCAGCAAGGTAAGAAAAACTTCATTATTTCCAAATATTCACTTCTTGCTAAATATTAACAAGTAATTATAATTTTTCTTTGGCATGGTACAATGTATGTAAATACTAAAATAATTCTTCATCTAATTGAAAGTGGATTTTGTAACCGAAGGGATTTGAACGTTCTGGGCCATATCTCTCTAAATGAAGAGAGTTTTATTAATGTCAACTTCTTAAAGGCCATAGAGGCCACGAACTATCTTTAAATGACGCACCCATCAAAGTTATGAAGGAAGCTTTTTTGCCTTGGTCTCATCATTGGCTCGTATTTAACTTCCTGCTACACATTAAATAGATAAAGGCCTCAAGGCACTTGACTTGTTGAAAGTCGTTTCAAATGCAGAGTGGGGAGGGGACCAAACTACCCTAAAGCATCCCCAAACTGCTTGATTGTGTCCACTACCAAGGTCTGGGACTTTGTCGCTATTATGAGGAACACGACTTTTCGGTGTATATGCTTATACCTTCATCAGGTGAATGTAACCTGATTTACTTTTAAGAAGTGAAGTAGTAAATAGTAATTACCTACGGTTTTGAAATGTAAACTATATCATGTAGCGGTTTGGTTAATCGTCTCACTTGCATTACTCATCTTGTTCTTGTTCAAAGTCATTTGATGTGTTAGACGCAAATAGACCGTTAAAGGTTCAAATTTCCTAAAACTAAAAAAGAATAGAATAGCACAGTACACAATACCATCAAAGGTATGAGATATGTCGCTACCACTAATTAAACGTCGAATCCTCGATGCCTCAATTTAACAGTGCAGTTGTAAAACTTTCTTCAAGATCATTAAGTATTGGTTTCGGAAGATTCATACAATATGTGGAAGGTTTTGTCATTTTGAATATTTAATTATGTTGTTCTTGATATCAAACATGAGTGTAAAAATTGCATCACTAACTACCAATTATATATAAGTTTTGATATAATTTCGACTAATGAATAGATTATGTAATGTCTATTCGTAAAGAATGCCTCACAAACACAGTTATACTGACATGCCAGAATTTATTCTGACCTTTAAAGATATCGGGTTGGTCTTTAGCCAACTATATTTGTTCGCTAACTTGATCCATCAGTGTCATCGTATCACAGCTTGGTAGACCAATGCTCATGATGTCAATCACTGAATCGTCTGGTCCAGGTTCGATTATTTACAGACCACTGTCAGACCATGTCACAGTTTAACATGGGCAGCTCACTTTAACACAATGTACTACCTTTGTGCTGTTTTATGTTTCTATTTACAATTTCAGATGCGTTTTCTGCTACTGGTTGTTGTTGTGGCGCTGACTGTGACGGATGTATCAGGCGGCAGGTGGTGGAGAGGAGTTAAGACAGGGGCGCGCCGTATATGGGATGAACACAAGGGAACGATAATACAACACGGTACCTTCCATGATGGAATTGTAAATGCTAAAGGTCCCTATGGATTAGTTATAACGCTAGTATTATCAGGAAGGGAGATTGTGCCCCTGTGATATGGTTGTCAAGAGATGTTGAATCAGGGCAGATCTCTGTCTGGGGCAGTGAGTGTACGCAGGGGAAACTTTTACACAAATTTAGCTCTTTGAATTTCTTTCTTTCAGGCATGATCACAAAGAAGGCCCGGTTCGATTCCCCACATGGGTATTATGTGTGAGGCCCATTTGTGGTGTCCCCTGCTGTAATACAGCTGGAATATTGCTAAAAGTGGCGAAACCCAACCGTAGAGTTGTGTAGCTAAAATATTCTGAACCTAACCACGTATATTTGTTGTTTTTGTTGAGTGTTTAACGCCACAGTCAACAATATTTCATACGGTGACATGTGTCTGCCAAGGCAGCAAGCCTGAACACCCGGTCCCGTTAGTCGCCTCTTCAGACCAATTCTAACCCGTATCTTCTCGGGTCTAACTACGATTTAGTACAGTCGTCACAGAAAACATGTATCAAGAGCAATACTCCCAGTGCTTGTATGCTGCCTTATATAACAAAATGCTTGCTTCCAACTTCATCATTGCAGATGAATCATTGTTTTTAATCCACCCCTAGAATCATTCTATTACACATAGGCAGTCTTTGTAAAGCAATACTTGGTATCATCAGTCAAAGGTTTATTTTGATTCTTGAATCGCACATCAAATGATAACTGTTTCCATATACACCAGGCGTAAAGTTACTCCTCGGTGGACGAAGTATTGACGACGTTGATCAGAACGGCGATGGTGTCCTGACTAGATCCGAACTGCAGCAGCACATGCATGAACGTGAAGTTGATGATTTGCTGGACATGCTAGATGAAAACGGTAGGTTTACTTACATACGAAATAACTCTATTATACCTATTTTTCAATCTACAGAAGTTAGAGCGTTAAATATCCCATTCATTACGAAGAATTTCTCCCCAAGAAACGTTTATTTTATCATAACCATGTCACATTCAAATGAGATCTTTACATCACTGTGATAAGTTATTCCGTGCAAATTAGTTGTCTGGACACAAGATCAGCTGAAGCTTTATCTAACGTTGACCACTACATGTTAAATACAGAACGTCAATGCAAAAGAATACCCAGTCTTGACTATCATCAGAAACAAATTCAGTTTGGCTACAAGGAAAAAATAGCTGTGAAAATTATGTGAATGAATCTGTGAAAATCAGCGATGACACCAGGTGTTGGTGAAAGAATTAATGAGCTCTTGGGCCAATCAATTGTCAGCATTCTAAAACAATTCGGCATCACTTTTGCGCCAAGTCTATTGTTTCTTTTGTATGTGAACAATACCATCACCGAACAACGTACTGAATGTATGAATTATCCACGCTATTATAACGTCAATATTCTCTGTATTCGCAACTGATAATGTTAGTTCGTTTTCGGGATACAGAAATCGGATATGCTTGATTGAGTGCTTGCTGTGACACGTACCTAAACTTTAGGAATATCAAACAGATTAGCCGATTACAAAAGCTCAATTTTTCATTGGAACAGAAGAGTATGGTGCTTCCTAGAAACATTTCTTGAAATCAAAGCTCATGTGTTTATAACAAGAGATCTTCAGGATAAGAAGTACCCATGGGAGTAAATGGTTTGACTTATGAAAGATTGACCATATCTTTCATCTCACAAATCAATCCGTTGGCAACCATGAGCACGCCCTGTGTGCTTAGCAAATTTATGATGCAGTGTCTCTATATTTTCAATCCCCAACGCTGGAATTTGATCATGCAATAAATGTTTTCAGAACTATTGTGTTGTTTATGCGGGTTAGGAGTTTGAGGTTTCCGTATATACATGTACTTGAATTACCTGTGTTACATGCACTGTTCATATACATGACTATGTGTGACAATTTTGTAGGTGAGGGACAGGTAACGCGTGACGTTCTGGAAAGGTACGCAAACGAAGCACTCCTCAATACAAACCAATAAGACCGTCGGAGGTATGTGTTTATGTTGTGTGTCAAACCCTTGTGGTGTGATTGTGTTTATAGAATTAGAACTGAATTGATAAACGCATTATAAAATCACTTTTCTTATTTCACAAGTTATCAAAACAGATATCAACATATGCTGAACCACTATGTTGAAACACTTTTGTTAGTAGAAACATACGCATTTGTTCAATATGTGTTTTCTGTTGCAGGTACCGAAGTAACTGGGCATGTTATTCGCATTTCGATTTCAAATAAAGTGACGACACTTCACTGATTCCTTTTCAACTTATCTTTTGTGTAAATAATGACATGTTCAAATAGTTGTACTTATTAGCCGAGTTCGAGTTTACATGTAGTAGTTACTTTTGCAGTGGAAAATGTGTGCATGATGGGTGACGTTCCCATAGCCTATAACCTAAACGTTTTAATATAGTATAGTACTTAATCTCACAGGTATTAACCATTTCACTGACGACATCTGAACACATCCATATCTGCTGGTCATACTCCTGCACGGATGAGGAGGTTTATCAGCAGTCGGTTATTATGATCGATCTGTTATAGATGACTCTCTTGACATTTGTGCCAGATGCTGCCGTTTCTGGTCGCAGTAATCTCCTTGAAATGAAAGATAGCGCAGCGGTTCTGTAACTACAGTCTCCATGTGTCTTACTTAAATGTCAGAAGCTATTGACACCTGTTGTTATATTTAACATTTTACAAACCATTCCAATCAAAAGTAAAAGAGATGACGTTAGTAGAGTTAATTAAGCTAAGTTTTAATGGTTGTTTCTGTTTTGTATATTATTTGTTCAACGACGCACAAAGCAATATTCCAGGTATATAGCGGTGGTCTGTAAATAATCGAGTCTGGACCAGACAATCCAGTGATCAACATCATGAGCATTGATCTAAGCAACTGGATACGATGACATGTGTCAACCAATTCAGCAAGCCTGACCACCCAGAATACACGCTTCACTGGACTTTAGGGTAACATTTGCTCCAACAGAAAAGCAGTATGTATTTTACTGGCGGATCAATCGCTACTGAACTAGTTTTCATTTGTATGCTTTTATTAATCAGAATATTGCAAATGACACCATTCAGTTCCTGTTGATTGGAGTTTGATGTTCAATAAGTGATGTTATTGAAATGGTCTAACACCATTAATCTCTTGCACGTTCTCGGCGCTCTCTTGTATTTTAAAAACATAAATCAGTTGCACCATACACCACTATGAAAGGGAGTAAACAGATCTGGTTACTGAGCCTTGCAACAGACACCGTGTATGATGGAAGCTTCTAGAACAGTTATTGACTAATCCGTCCGATATAAAACTTTCGAGATGTTATACATCTATTTAAATGCACTGTAGCACGTCTCCCTCAGCCGAAAGTAAATGACGACAAGCAGTTTTGTAAAGATCCTATTTTTAATTATACATCATCACAATGTAGATACTTAAGTATCCCTTTGATGGCTTCAGTTTATATATCGTGACTGTTGTGACTCGTGATTAATGGTCAATCTCTTGCGTTTTCAGTTTAGAATAGAAAAATTTGGAGTGCATGTGTGGATTTGGGACCTCTAAACTCTACTTCAAATTGAACATTATTGAAATTAAGACATTTTTTCTAAGCTATTCACGTTACTATCCTTAAGGGAGCCCCCATCATGCACACATTTTCCACTGCAAAAGGAATCTACTACATGTAAACTCGAACTCGGCTAATAAGTACAACTATTTGTCATTATTTACACAAAAGATAAGTTGAAAAGGAATCAGTGAAGTGTCGTCACTTTATTTGAAATCGAAATGCGAATAACATGCCCAGTTACTTCGGTACCTGCAACAGAAAACACATATTGAACAAATGCGTATGTTTCTACTAACAAAAGTGTTTCAACATAGTGGTTCAGCATATGTTGATATCTGTTTTGATAACTTGTGAAATAAGAAAAGTGATTTTATAATGCGTTTATCAATTCAGTTCTAATTCTATAAACACAATCACACCACAAGGGTTTGACACACAACATAAACACATACCTCCGACGGTCTTATTGGTTTGTATTGAGGAGTGCTTCGTTTGCATACCTTTCCAGAACGTCACGCGTTACCTGTCCCTCACCTACAAAATTGTCACACATAGTCATGTATATGAACAGTGCATGTAACACAGGTAATTCAAGTACATGTATATACGGAAACCTCAAACTCCTAACCGCATAAACAACACAATAGTTCTGAAAACATTTATTGCATGATCAAATTCCAGCGTTGGGGATTGAAAATATAGAGACACTGCATCATAAATTTGCTAAGCACACAGGGCGTGCTCATGGTTGCCAACGGATTGATTTGTGAGATGAAAGATATGGTCAATCTTTCATAAGTCAAACCATTTACTCCCATGGGTACTTCTTATCCTGAAGATCTCTTGTTATAAACACATGAGCTTTGATTTGCACAAGAAATGTTTCTAGGAAGCACCATACTCTTCTGTTCCAATGAAAAATTGAGCTTTTGTAATCGGCTAATCTGTTTGATATTCCTAAAGTTTAGGTACGTGTCACAGCAAGCACTCAATTAAACATATCCGATTTCTGTATCCCGAAAACGAACTAACATGATGAGTTGCGAATACAAAGAATATTGACGTTATAATGGCGTGGATAATTCAAACATTCAGTAATTTGTTCTGATAAGTGTTAATTGGCACGGCTCCCACGGCCAAAAGCTATGAAAATACACAATGCCATTTTAGAAAGTGGTCAAATGTAACATATGTTATATTTGGGATTACACTTTCTTAGTAAAGTACAAATTCTTGTACTTTTGGGTTGAGTCCCATCCGGGATTCGAACCCGCATTGGCATTGTGTATTTTCATAGCTTTCGGCCGTGGGAGCCATGCCAATTAACACTTGTCAGAGGGGTACACAAAGTCCGCAGTCTAGACTACCAGTTGTCCGACTTCCATTTTGTGGAAGCCGCGGTGGATGAGCGGTTTAGGCGTCTGACTTTGTCTGCTGGGGATTAGGTGCCTGAATTTGAGGGTGCGGGTTCGAATCCAGGATTGGACTCAACCCCAAAGAACTAAAATTTGTACTTTACTAAGAAAGTGTAATCCCAAATATAACATATGTTATATTTTTTCCTTGTAGCCAAACTGAATTTGTTTCTGATGATAGTCAAGACTGGGAATTCTTTTGCATTGACGTTCTGTATTTAACATATGGTGGTCAACGTTAGATAAAGCTTCAGCTGATCTTGTGTCCAGACAACTAATCTGCATGGAGAAACTTATCACAGTGATGTACAGATCTCATTTGAATGTGACATGGTTATGATAAAATAAACGTTTCTTGGGGAGAAATTCCCCGTAATGAATAGGATATTTAACGCTCTAACGTCCGTTGCTTGAAAAATGGGTATAATAGAGTTATTTTGTATGTAAGGAAACCTACCGTTTTCATCTAGCATGTCCAGCAAATCATCAACTTCACGTTCATGCATGTGCTGCTGCAGTTCGGATCTAGTCAGGACACCATCGCCGTTCTGATCAACATCGTCAATGCTTCGTCCCCCGAGGAGTAACTTTACGCCTGGTGTATATGGAAACAGTTATCATTTGATGTGCGATTCAAGAATCAAAATAAACTTTTGACTGATGATACCAAATATTGCTTTACAAAGACTGCCTATGTGTAATAGAATGATTCTAGGGGTGGATTAAAAGCAATGATTAATCTGCGATGATGAAGTTGGAAGCAAGCATTTTGTTATATAAGGCAGCATACAAGCACTGGGAGTATTTCTCTTGATACATGTTTTCTGTGACGACTGTACTAAATCGTAGTTGGACCCGAGAAGATACGGGTTAGAATTGGTCTGAAGAGGTGACTAACGGGACCGGGTGGTCAGACTTCCTGGCTTGGCAGACACATGTCACCGTATGAAATATTGCTGACTGTGGCGTTAACACTCAACAAAAACAACAAATATACGTGGTTAGGTTAAGAATATTTTAGCAAAACAACTCTACGGATCGGTTTCCCCACTTTTAGCAATATTCCAGCTATATTACAGCAGGGGACACCACAAATGGGCCTCACACATAATACCCATGTGGGGAATCGAACCCGGGCCTTCTTTGTGATCATGCCTGAAAGAAAGAAATTCAAAGAGCTAAATTTGTGTAAAAGTTTCCCTTGCGTACACTCACTGCCCCAGACAGAGATCTGCCCTGATTCAACATCTCTTGACAACCATATCACAGGGGCACAATCTCCCTTCCTGATAATACTAGCGTTATAACTAATCCATAGGGACCTTTAGCATTTACAATTCCATCATGGAAGGTACCGTGTTGTATTATCGTTCCCTTGTTATCATCCCATATACGGCGTACCCCTGTCTTAACTCCTCTCCACCACCTGCCGCCTGATACATCCGTCACAGTCAGCGCCACAACAACAACCAACAGCAGAAAACGCATCTGAAATTGTAAATAAAAACATAAAACAGCACAAAGGTAGTACATTGTGTTAAAGTGAGCTGCCCATGTTAAACTGTGGCTTGGTCTGACAGTGGTCTGTAAATAATCGAACCTGGACCAGACGATTCAGTGATTGACATCATGAGCATTGGTCTACCAAGCTGTGATACGATGACACTGATGGATCAAGTTAGCGAACAAATATAGTTGGCTAAAGACCAACCCGATATCTTTGAAGGTCAGAATAAATTCTGGCATGTCAGTATTACTGTGTTTGTGAGGCATTCTTTACGAATAGACATTACATAATCTATTCATTAGATGCAATTTTTACACTCATGTTTGATATCAAGAACAACATAATTAAATATTCAAAATGACAAAACCTTCCACATATTGTATGAATTTTCCGAAACCAATACTTAATGATCTTGAAGAAAGTTTTACAACTGCACTGTTAAATTGAGGCATCGAGGATTCGACGTTTAATTAGTGGTAGCGA